AAGCCTACTAAAACAAAAAGAATATGCCCAAATGCTGAAAAAAGAATTAAAAGTATTTTTTGAGATTGAGAGAGCAAACAACATTACAAAATTTGTGGGACACAACAAAAGCTTACATGGGGCCTAATAATAGCTTATGCAGCAAAAAGAAATAAGGAAAGGAAGAAACAACAGATGATACGGCAGAGAAACTGAAGGAACTGGAAACCAAAATGCAGAAAGACCCCCACAATGAGGAAATTAGAAGAGAAAGAGATATACTGAAACACGAAATGAATATAATGTTACAAGAGGAAATGGCTCAGAAACTCAAATTGGTGAAGCAAAATTATTTTGAGAATGCAAACAAGCCAGGGAGGTGGCTGGCACATAAATTGAAAAAGGAACAAGAAAAAATAATAATACATGTGCTGCAAGATGAGAATGGGAGTTCCTGCTACCAGATGGATAAAAAGAAAATTATAGCCCAAAAGTTCTTCTCTAGTCTTTATGCACAGGAAGAAATATCAGAAGAAGACATTATACAACATCTAAAATATAGGAATCTACCCATAATATCAGACACTGTAGGGGAAATGTTGAACAATAAAATTACCATGAAAGAATTTAAAGATGCAATTGGAAAACAAAAAACCAACAAAACACCAGGCCCCGATGGAATTCCAGCGGAGTTTTACAAAGAAATTCAGAACGCTAGAACTAGAAGAAATAATGTTAGAAATAATGTTAAATAACTAGAATAATGTTAGATCTGTACAACGAGGTGGTTGGGCAGGCAAAATACCAAAGGCATAGACAGAGGCGCTTATAACACTTATTCCGAAGGAACATCTTCAGCAGACTAGAAATTACAGACCAATCTCGCTTTTAAACATAGACTATAAGATCATGGCCACAATAATGTCTGAAAGATTAAAAACAATACTAAGTGAAGTCATTCACCCCGACCAGAATGGATTCCTCCGAAATACAGATAAGAGACAATACAAGATTGATCATGGATGTCCTAGAATACTACGAGACCCACTTAGAGAAACCAATGGCATTGATATTTCTGGATGCACAGAAAATGTTCGATAATTTGAATTGACAATTCCTCATAAAACAATTGAGTATGATGCAATTTGGTGAAAAATTTGTAGGGTTCATTAAAACAATATATAATACACAAACTGCAAAAGTGATATTGAATGGAGAAACAACAGATGATTTGAATATTATTAAAGGAGTAAGATAAGGATGCCCATTAGCCCCACTTTTATATATATTATCAGCAGAAGTACTGCTGATCCAAATTAGGCAGAATCAGGAGATAAAAGAATTGATTACTAAAAAAAGAATACAAAGTCCAAGCTTTTGCAGACAATATGGCATTTATCATAGAAGATCCAATAGAGATGGTAGTATACTAATTCGTGAAATAGAAGAATTTGGAATGGTAGCAGCATTAAAAATTAATAAGAAAAAGACGAAAATAATAACTAAAAATCTCACTAGGAGTCAAAATGAAGAATTGGAACATGAATTAGGGATACAAATAGCAAAAAAAAAGTATTTAGGAGTTTGGCTCATGGCAAAATGCTCTTCCATAAAGGAAGATAATTATGATAAAATAATATTACAAATACAAAAAGATCTGGATAACTGGGCCAAAATACAACTCTCATTATTGGGGCGGATAGCAACTATAAAAATGAGTATACTATCCAAACTCTTATTCTTGTTTCAAACAGTGCCGGTAAAATTGGGTAATTTTTTTTTGATGATTTGAATAAAAGAGTTGTGAAATTAATATGGTTAAAGAAAAAAAACCGGGTAAAATTTAAACTTTTACAAGATAGTAGGCATAAAGGAGGATTTGGACTTCCGGACTTTGAACTATATTACCAGGCACCAAATACAACCTTGACAACAAAAGAATATTAGCAATAGAGGGCCATGATCTCCAGTTGGAGTGGTATGCATTTCTTTGGGAAGGGAAAAATAGTTGCCATACCTACTTTCAGAGACATCGTGTCAGGGATGTTATACTGTATGTTTGGGACATAATAAAAAGAAACCACTATGTGAAAATACCAACCTGGCTGTCAATGATGGAAGCAATGATATACCCCAATGCACTGGATTTAAATAAGATGATAAAATATAAAGAACTTTTAGATGAGAAAGGGGAACTAAAAACTCAACAGCAATTAAAGGCACAAGGAATGGAAATAGGATGGTGGCCATATCTCCAAATACAAAAAATGGTATAAAAAGGATTGGGAACAATTTGGCTTTTATAGAACTCAACAAGAATAAGATAAAATTATACAAGGAACTGGGAAACAAATGATTAGTTAAATGTACAATTATTTATTGAAATGGAAGAAGAAACAGTAAAAGAAAATATGATAATTTGGGCCAAAAATTTTGGATATGGTATTGATTTGGAACAATGGGAAAAACTATGACAGGTAAATGATAAATTAAGGTTGTCAGTTGCATACAAGGAGAACCTTTATAAAATGTTCTACCGCTGGGACCTCCCCCCAGCGAAGCTAGCCAAGATGTTTCCCAATATATTGGCAGTGTTGGAGATGTAATCACAGCCAAGGAACGTATTTTCACATGTGGTGGACCTGTCCCCAAACCTGGAAGTATTGGCTCAAAATTAAAACATGGTTGGGAGAAATAACGAAACAAAGAATTGAATTAAGACCTGAATTGTTTTTATTAAGTATAATAGGATCAAGTTAATAGTAATTTCCAATATATTATACTCCATATAGTAACCGCTGCCAGAATTTCACTTGCTCAGAACTGGAAACAGGACACTATCCCCTCCGAGACAGCAATAATAAAAAAGATCCTCAAATGCGCTGAAATGGACAGGCTAATGATGATATTAATAGAGAAAGAAGAGAAAGAATACTATAAGATATGGAATGTTTGGTATGAGTGGACGCAAAGTCATCAATCGTCAACAAAATTGTGAAAGTGTTAATTAATGGTGTGTGTGTGTGTGTGTGTGTGTGTGTGTGTGTGTGTATAAATAGTTTTATAAGCTAGAATGAGAAATAAGAATATAAGTGAGTAAGAATGGAAAAATAATTGATATAGTTTTAGACTTTATCAACTAGTGTGAACACCATTTCGGAATTGTTGTAAAAAGTGGAAATTGTCTTTTTAAATGTTGAAATGTTGAATAAATAAATTTAACTAAAAAAAGAAAAGAAATGGATGGCATGGGTGCAATTCCAAAACATGGAGCACCACTCAAACACCATCAATATTAACAAAGTCATCAGTCAATTGAAAAAGGCAGTTTGGAACAGCTTACATTCTGTGACAAATTCCAAATCCAGTCTAAACATCTAACTATGTGATCAACAATAACAAATTATATGAACTATTTTTTCTTTTTGTGGAAAATATAAAAAGCTGAATCAACCAGTACAAAAACATTTTATTACTTCAATGAACCTGGATAAAGATGACAACTAAATTAATCTAAAAGCTGGAAAGATTATCAGGAAAGTATAAATTATATGGAAAACTGCTAAATGCACTCCAGTAACATGTGGAATACTACCTTTATTCCTGTTAGCAGTACAACTCAAAATTGACATATTTGGGGCAATATCTGTTCCAAAACATTTCCCTGACATATTTAATTATTTAATTAAAACTATACAGAGAAAATCCCAAAGATGCTATTTCAAGAGGCAATGGCACTTTCTGTTTTTCTTTTTTCTTTTGAAGACATTTCACTCTCATCCAAGAAGCTTCTTCAGCTTTGGCTGGATGGTGAGGAATTGAAGGATTTATACTCCTTGCAGACAGCTGGTCATTTGCATTCTTTTAGAGCAGGGGTCTTCAAACTTGACAGCTTTAAGACTTGTGGACTTCAACTCCCAGAATTCCTCTTTGAGTCATGTTAGCTCAGGAATTCTGGGAGTTGAAGTCCACAAATCTTAAACTTGCCCAGTTTGAAGACCCTTGTTTTAGATAGTCATTTGAGGCAACCTGGAGGTTTATCTGTGTCATCAGGGTCACCTAAGTGGTGCAAATGGATGTGGAGACTTCTTGGAACTGTGGAAAGACGGTGTTGTAGACTGGAGATAGATGGTATAGTATCCCTCCTCTCTGTTGAGAGGGTTGTTCAATTTTGACATAGATGGTCTCTTTGACTCCTCTTTCAAACCAGCAAATGTGGACTTTGCTGTCTTCAAGAGAGGCATTTGTGTTTTAAATGTAGATGGACTGCTGAATCTTATCCTGATGGGTTTGTTCTCCTATGCTGTGCATGTATGAAGTATATGAAGTGGTTGTTTGTGCCTTGCTCAGTTTGTGCCTGGGTGTTTTATCCTTGGGGTGGACAAGCTTGGAAAAAACCCCAGAAAGTCCAGTTGCCTCTTTAAAAAACACCTTTGGAACAACTATGACCTGGACTGAGACTCTCCATAGACAGAGAAAGTTGATATATTTATTCTCCATATCTCTTCTATATCAATGGAAGAGAAAATAGGGAACAATTAAAGGAAAAGAAGGTAACAAACAAAGCTTCCACTGTTAAGTTTGAGCCACCCAGAGTTGGAATGCATTGGTTCTTGTAGTACAGAACATTTTTTCATCGGATTATATACATGGTTCTGAATAAATATCATACTAACTACAATACAATTTACCATTACAATTTAAGGCAATTGAAAGATATTTTGAAACAGTGCTCACAGACTGCTTTTGCAAATACTCTTTCATTAAACTTTTTCAAATATTTCTTAAATTCATGCAACAATATGAACAATTCTCTCTCTCCCTCTTTTACACATACACACTCACACACAAACATACTGAGGCAAGCATAGAGAGTCTCTCAAGTCCAGATCACATTATATTTTTAGAAAAGTTTCATAGTTGTTTTGAAACAAACAAAATATTTTTGTATTTTAAAAATAAGGAGAAACTTATTTCATAAAGAACCATTTTCTGAACCCCAAAAGAGGCACAAATCATACCTTTCCAAAGAATGGGTTTGCCATTCTTGCAACAATAGGTCTAGAAATTCAAAAGAGCGCCTAGAAAATATAAGGTTTAAAGTCAATTCTATATTTATCTGAATTAGTTACAGAAGGTAAAGATTTTAACATATTAAAAGTCTTTAATTACTAGAAGTCTGGGAATTTGACAAACAAACAACTATACTGAATTTAAATCATTATGATTTCTTTATCCCTTACTGTTAACCTTGGTTGAGTCATTATACATTTCTTTGAAGTAGATCTGGATGATCCATAAAATGCAACATTAAAAAATGATATTTTTTGTTAGGAACAGCAAAGATGTGTCATGTGATGTTGTGCTTTAGAACCACATCACTTAGCAATGGAAATTCTGGTCCCAAATAATTCCCTCAACACTGTCCAACTATTTACAAAGTCTGCACTATTATTACTATTAACCTTCTCATCACTCCTTATCACTCATCCCCTCCCACTTGTGACTGTATGACTGTAACTTTGTCACTTGTATCCTTACGATCTATACTGACTGTTTCCTAGTATGATTTGTTTGCTTATTGTACCCTATGACTATTATTAAGTGTTATACCTTATGATTCTTGACTCTTGACGAACGTATCTTTTCTTTTATGTATACTGAGAACATATGAACCAAGACAAATTCCTTGTGTGTCCAATCACACTTGGCCAATAAAGAATTCTATTCAAATATTGTTCTAACTTGATAACTGTCAGCAAAGTCCTATGTCCTAATTCTGAAAAATATCCCTTGTAGATGTAACTATATATTATGGCAAAAGTCATTCTTAATATTTATTTCCATTTATTAAAATGTGAAATGTAAGTCTATTATTTTTTCTTAAAGTGAACTTCATGTCAGATTATAAGGGTGGGAAATTGACAGCGATTAAAATTGTTATTAGAGAGATTCATATTTTTCTAATATTGGTTAATGTAACATTCAAAGGTTAAAATTCAAAACCCTCACCTCCTTACTGCCACAGATTTTGAGGTACAGTTGCTGGTTATTAAAGGTATGAGTCTTGGCACATGTGTATGCTGAAAAGAAAAAAAATATCCTGAAATCTAGCTGAATGGATTCAACAGAAGCGATGTTAATCAATTAATCTCCATACTGTACATCCATTTCTGAGTGTCTCACAAACAAATGAAGGAATAAAACACAAAATAATAAACGCTTTTGTCTTACTTCATTTGCAATTTAGTTGGAATATGGTTTTACAGATTTTAAGGCTTGGATAGATACATTTCAATCTGTTCTAATTCAAATATTAAAAACAGTTCTTTAAATGTTTATCTTTAAATGTATACACAATCCTCTCTCAAAGAAGGACTTCAAATGAGCATAAGTCCAATTTTAATCCAAGTAAAATAAATTAATAAACCAGTTAAGTTTCAGATGGTGGTATTTAAATTAAATAGTTGCATATAAAATGTTATTCTGTTACATTTGTACTACATTCAATGTATATAAAAGAGGGCATTCTGACTGAAATATTGCAGAACATTATGAAAAATCACATCTTTTTTATATTTATTGCTTGATGTAATTAGCAAATGTTTTTCAAATGCAACATTTGTAACATCTCAAGCCCCATTCTAGTAGTTTTCAGAACTAGCAGAACTGTTATTAGTATTCGGGCAATGTTTTTCTCTTATTATCAGTTTTATATAAAACAAAACATATACGATACATAAATATATATAAACTATACTGACTGGTATAACTATGTTATTAATAAAGATGAAAACACTCTAGCCCTTCCTAACCACATTATACTACTCATGATGATGCCGGATGCATCTGGAAGAACAATGTCACAATTGCTTCTCAGCACATAGCAGAGCTTTTAAAATAAGCAAATAAAAGTGCAATACACAACATAAATGATCAAGTGTAGATCAGTACATTTCTAGACTTTTATAACAGCTATTTCTGCCAGTTGATTAGTGGATTCAACAAATACAGAAGGCTAAACAAACGGTATCTTTAACTTTAATCAATATACATTTTTTTTCCAATTAGAGTATATCACTAGATCATGCCAGGGGATTATCAACACTGTTCAGCCTAAATCTGCAATCCAGCTATAGGACCTAAAATCTATAACATTTCCATCATATGGTATGCATGCTCATCACATAGCATATTGCTCTTCAGCTTTTATATTCAATAGTTTCTCAGAAGGAAACTACTCATGAAGAAGAAGGTTTTTGTTGTTAGTCCCGAAGTTGTGTCCGACCCATTGCGACCCCATGGACAACATTGCTCCAGGCCTTCTTGTCCTCTACCATCCCCTGGAGTCCATTTAAGCTCATGCCTTCAGTGACTTCATCATTCTCTGCTGTCCCCTTCTTCTTTTGCTCTCAATCGTTCCCAGCATTAGGCTCTTCTCCAGTGAATCCTTCCTTCTCATTAGGTGGCCAAAGTATTTGAGTTTCATCTTCATGATTTGGCCTTCTAAAGAGCAATCAGAGTTGATCTCCTCTAGGACTAACTGGTTTGATCACCATGCAGTCCAAGGGATTCACAGGAGGCTTCTCAAGCACCATAGTTCAAAGGCCTCAATTCGTTGGCGCTCAGCCTTCCTTATGGTCCAGCTTTCACAGCCATACATTGCAACTGGGAAAACCATAGCCTTGACTATACGCACTTTTGTTGGCAAGGTGATGCCTCTGCTTTTTAACATGCTATCTAGATTTGCCATAGCTTTCCTCCCAGGAGCAAGCGTCTTTTAATTTCTTGTGGTGTGGAGATTTTTTTGTTTGTGAGTGCAGGCTTCCAGATAATTAGTCTGGTGGAGTCATCTCTTCTATTCATGCTATCAGTTCTTTTTTCAATTTCTATGGCTTCTCTGGTAATTCTGTAGCTGGGGTTTTCTATAGTGGCTAGGGTTTTGGTGCCATTGAAGTCGATGCTATGACCTGTGGCTTTCATGTGTTAGACTAGTGAGGAAGTGTGTTCCAGCTTTTTTACTTCATTTTTGTGTTCATCCAGGCGGGTACTTATTCTTCTATTGGTCTGTCCGATGTATGTGGCAGGGCATGATGCACAGGGGACTTCATATATACCTTGGTTTTCCAGGTCAAGTTTATCTTTGGGCTTTCTTAGGATGGCTGCTATTTTTCTGTCTGTTTTGAAGGCAGTCTTGATGTGATGCCTGTGTAGTATCTTAAGGCTGGAGTCTTTACCAGGATCTTCAATCGGTCTTTATCCCAGTCCACTCTTCCATCTTGTTTGAAGGCTTCCACCATTGTTCCACTGCCAAAGAAGTTCCCTATCAATAACCTCAATGCTTACAGACCAGTGCCACTTACTCCTATCATCATAAGTACTTTGAGAAATTGGTCTGCCGACACATCATTTCTGGTCTTTCACATACATTTGAAAAACACGTTTGCATACAGAAGAAATAGATCTACAGAGGATGCTATAGCCATCACTCTTCACACTGCTCTGATTCATCTGGAACAGCGGGGGGAGAGTGTGTGCTATGTGAGGATGCTTTTTGTAGATTTTAGTTCTGCATTTAACACAATTCTTCCACACAGACCAGTGTCTAAACTTCTGGACCTTGGACTTTCTTATTCAATCTGCCTTTGGATTACGGATTTCCTATCTGGCCGCTCACAGAGGGTCAGATTAGGTAATCATACCTCTTCAGCCCTTATTCTTAACACTGGTACACCACAGGGTTGCGTGTTGAGTCCCTTACTCTATACTCTTTATGTGCATGACTGCTCCTACTCACGCTAGTAATACTATTACTAAATGGAGACCAAGTGGAGCAAGTGGCCAGTTTTAAGTTTCTAGGTGTTACCATAAAAGAGGACCTGAGTGTGTGTGTGTGGGGGAGGGGGCACATTGCAGCACTGGTCAAAAGTGCCCAGCACAAATTATACTACCTGAGACTTCTCAGAAAATAACAACTAAATGAAAAATTGTGGTGACCTTCTACCGCTGCACCATAGAGAGTGTCTAACTTACTGCATCTGTGTATGGTTTGCCAATTGCACAGTGGCAGATAGGACAGCACTCCAGAGGGTTAACGTCATTGCCCAGATGATCATTAGTTGTCCTCTCCCCTCTTTGGGAGAGCTTTATAGCCACGCTGCCTTAAGAAAGTTCAAAACATTCTCAAAGACCCATCTTATCCTGGGCATGTTTTTTTTGAACTATTACCATATAGCAGATTGTACAGGATAATAAAAACAAGGACAAAGAGGCTGAAAAACAGCTTCTATCCCAGGGCAGTAACTCTATTGAATTCTACTGTATAGTGCAATTTTTTTTTTAAATAAATTTTATTGATTTTACAATTAAAAACAGATCTACAACACATACACAAAAAAACAAGGTCTTGACAAAGGCCAAGAAGAGAAAGAAAGAGAGAGGTGTAAAAGGAAAGAAAATGGGAAGAAAAAAGAAAGAGAATGAAAAAGAAACATTTAAAAATAAACAATATCCTTTTTGACAGTCTGTAAAATCTATTCTTCTTAAGTTGTATCATATACGCGTATCTTATCGGTATCTATACTTAAATTACTCTCAACTAGGTTTCTCTTATAAACGGTCTGTCTTTGAATTAACCAATCATACCAAGGGTTCCAATTATTGTAATATATTGAGGACTCTTTGTTTTTTAAGGCTAGAGTTAATTTGTCCATTTCTGCGCACTCTAATATTTCCTGGATAACCATCTGTGGGAGTGTAAGGTAATTTCCAGCACTGCGCAAACGCTAGCCTGGCAGCAGTTAGAATGTGAATTGTTATATGCTTCATCTTTTTTGATAATTGTTTGTCGAAAATCCCTAATAGGAAGGACTCTGGTTTGTATTTGTATTTGTATTTGTTCTTTGGTTATCTCCTCCAACCATTTTCTAATTTTTTGCCAGTATTTCTGGGATTCCTTGCATGACCACCACATGTGGAAAAAGGTTCCATCTATGCTTTTGCATTTCCAGCATTTAGGACTCGCGTTGGGGTGCATTTTCGCCAGCCTCGAAGGGGGTAGATGCCATCTATAAAACATTTTGTATGTATTTTCTTTATAAGCTGCTGATTTTGTGATCTTAATATTTCTATTCCAAATCCTTTCCCATTCTGGTAGTGTAATACTTCGTCCCACATTCCTGCTCCAGGCTATCATATTTCCTTTGACTATCTCCTGTTCTAGTTCTACTTCCAGTAAGTATTTGTAAAATATAGATATATTCTTTTTATTGGGTCCTAATAAAATTTTATCTAAGTACTGCGGTTTATTATAAATTCCAAAATCTTTGATGTCTTGTTTATATCTACTGTGGATTTGAATATATAACCACTGATCAATTTTAAATCCTCGCTCTTGTAGTTCTTGTCGTGTTTTCAGTTTTCCTTGTGGGTCTAATAAATCTTTGTATTTAATCATTTTTGTTATGTCCAGATTATTAGGGTGTACCATTGCCTCCATTGTTGATAGCCAAATCAGTATTTTTAGATAGTGTTTTTTGCGTACTTTTTTCCAGTTAGTTAGTAGTGAGTCCCTAATAAGATGTCTATGGAAGTATGACTGCTTAGGTTTCCCCACTTCCCATAAAAAGGCGTGCCACCCTCTCTGGAGATCGTGCCCTTCTAATAATAGAGTTCTTTTATTAAGTAGGTTCACCCAATCTTTTAGCCATAGTAAGGTGGCTGCCGTGTAATATGATTCCCAATTTGGAAGAGCTAGTCCCCCTCTACTCTTCGCATCTTGTAATGCCTTTACATTAATCCTAGCTTTCTTTCCCTGCCAAATAAATTTGAGTGTTATCTTATTTAGTTCTTCAAAGAATTTTTTATGTAATTTGATTGGGATTGTCTGAAATAGGTATAGAAATTTTGGTAGTATGTTCATTTTAATCGAAGTAATCCTGCCCAATAAAGAAAGCTGCAACTTGCTCCAGGCTTCTAAATCTTTCTTTACTTGTTGGAGTAATTTATCATAATTATTCTCTTTAAGTGATTTACCTTGTGGTGTTAACCATATTCCTAGATATTTGACTCTTTTGGTTACCTG